ATCTTGGTTTCAGATTTTTCCATTCTGTAACAGGGTGGCACAGAAGAGCTATAGGAGAACTTTAGGACTAGCTAGTAAGCTGTGAGATGTTTCTCTTTATTATTTCATTTCATTTAAAATATTTCCTGCCCAGCATTCAGTATTGTGTAAATTGCAAGGTGGTTATTTTTGTAGCCTTCTAGATTGCTGATCTAGTCAGTAGGTAGACTAGAATGTACATTTGGGAGCTCATACTATGCAAATTTCAAATACTAAAATTATTTGTTGTGCATAGTCTATCTAAAAAGCTGTTGTTCAATTGTTAATATACATGAGCCAGTTCTGTTTTTCACCAGATGTATTTATTACTCTGTTTCTGTGCCTTGGAAGATGTGTTTAACTTGAAGGTCATTAGCAAGTTTATGGTTATCCATTTTTAAATAGATGCATTCTGAAATCACATGGGCAGTTTTCTACTCTCTAATTGGATTTCTTTCTTTCTTCCTCACAAATTATAAGTGAAAGCATATTATTTTTATAAATTTACATTAGCATACATATATACATGATTTTCAAAATAGTTGAAATTTAAAGTCTTCATTTAAAAAATGCTCAGATAAGTAAATGAAAAATTAGGGTAGCTATTAAAGTAGACTTCACTGAGTTTAGTCCATATAACTCATTTTTTGTCACTTTACTTACAGACATGATGTATGTGACATACTGGCCCATTTGAAATTATATAACCATGCCATTGAGATGTCTTAAACATCAAAGCAACACATCTGATGATGTCGCTGATGCAGGCAATCCATATTATAACAACCACATTTTCCAAATAGAATGTCTTAATGCCTTATGTCTCAGGTATTTCTTTATGGATTTAATCTTTTCAATTGTTCCTTTGGGAGCAAAAGAAAACAATGTGCCAAGTATTTGAAGATATATATTTTGTTCTTTGTGTACTCATTTTTAAACCCAGTTGGTTCCTAGAACAGCTTACAAGGCATATGGTTGCTTTCAGTGATGGACAGGAGCAGAGAACAAATCTCTCAACAGAGGTTATTTTAGAGTCTTGAGAAATAGCAGCCACTAAGATTATAGTGAGTCAATCCAATTGCAGCTGCCTTTTCATCAGAAAAATATATATTAAATATAGTAATAAATATATTCCAGCTTTTTGCTGAAAGACTTTCTGAAATTAATGCAGTACAATAAATGTATACATTTATTATTAATATTATTTATAAATGTTTAAGTTACTTTAAATAATAAGTTCAAAAATATTGGTTTAAATTATATAGGGAGTGTTGATTTTCTGACACGTTAATGTTTCTCCTTTTATTCCACAATGTATCTAATATAAAGGTAACATTGTTATAATATTTTAAAAAATCAAACTTCTGATATTGTTGAATTTATCTTTTCAAAATTCAATGACAATATGGTATACTCTTTTCTTAGCTTTCTTACGTCAGGTGCAATATAATGGATAATATTCCACTCTTTTCAAATGTGATTATTTTAACTTGCCTTGCTAGAAATAATGGGTGATTATTTTGGGAATATAATAAATATTATATGTAATAGAAATATGAAACATTTTGTATGTAGTAGCAAAAAAAATACAAAATATAGCATAGTTTTCTTTGTGGCTGCATGTTTCCCTAGCAATTGCACAAATAACAGATTTCATAGTTCAATCAATAGAAAAAAATCATCTAAAATCAAAGTATTTTATTTGATATTAGCACAAGGATGAAAATGGAGTTTTACTTTGTATTAATGGATTGGATACAATCCTCTTGTCTCACACTATATTTAAAGATGTGAATTCAACATGTAAGAGATAAATAAAATTATCAGGCACTTAGGAAAAAATATGTTCTACTCACTTTGGGAATTTCTTTCTTTCATAGACACTTTATCCACACAATGTCTTGTAGCAATGTTAAAAATTAATGGCACTGGTAAATACTCTATAATCTATATAAAAGGAATTCTAATATGAACTACAAACATTTTAGTATACAGTTGTATGGTTTTTGTATATACAATTGAACTAATATAATAACTGTATTTTTGACAAGCTAGACTTATAAATAATAAATGTCTATCCAAAATGTTAATGCCCAGTTCATTTCAAATTTACAACTCTCTAGTCCCCGGGTAAGCAAACAACATATTTTGTTTCTAAACATGTTCAAAATTGGTTTCTGACTTATAAGAGCAAGATCTCTTTTCACTTAATGTAATGATCCTACAATCATGTCCACATGATTAATTTATGTTTAGTTTTAAAATCTCATTTATAATAATAATCTTTATCTCTCCCATCCAAACCTTTATATTTCTACCACCATTTTGATTTGGCTTCTTTCAGACCCAGTTTATTTCAGAATAACTTGAATCTTAACAGATTTTCTTTTGTTGGAAAAGGTTAAACACAATTCTTCCTTTGCTGTTCAGTGGTTTTCTATACCATTGATCAGTGTTTTTCAACCATAGTAATTTGAAGATATATTGGCTTCAACTTCTCAAATTCCTTAGGCAACATGCTGGCTGAGGAATTCTGGGAGCTGAAGTCCATGCATCTTAATTAGAAAACACTGACTTGATTATCATC